ATGTTGTCTGTTTAGACGTTCCAATCTATCGTCTTGTTTTCTTTCGATCAGGGAGATTCCTTCTCATTGACTTGACTGCAGATGTGCAACGCATCGGGTGACCTTGATACACAACTTCACCATTGATGATCAACTGATTAATAACATTGGTAAAATATACATAATTACACACATCAAATCAGGTTCCTCCCGAGCAATTTTGCTTATTTTGAGACGCTGATTCCGAATATGAAATCAGTTTTTACCTGCGATAATTATTTTTAAAATTTGGAGCCCTAAGTTTAATCCTGCGAGGCGGCAAATTTGAAAAAAGCGCGTCTCCCCCAAGTCTGACCGTGACCGCACGGAAAATATCCAGCAGCGCTAGATTTCTCCTCAGAGTCTCCAAGCTATCGTCCAAACTTTGTACAATTTTGTGTTTACATCTGACCTGACGATTTGTCTCATGATCGATAGATCGTCCAGTTTTTGTACAATTTATCGTTGCGTGTAACCGGGGCTTAAGAACTAACAAATAATTCTGCTTTATATTACCTGGGTCAGCAATTAAACAAGCAACTTTGTACTGAATAGACACATTCAGTCATTTAGCGGTTTTTTTTTTGGTTTTTTTTTTGGGGGGGGGGTTTGTTTTAGTTTTAATAGAGGTTTTACGGCGCTCGCAACTGCATAAGGTCATACGAGCGCAAAGGGGTGGATGTCAACGTAGAGAAGTCCTTACATGGAATCAGACTTACTCTGCTCACCTCTCTAGTCTCAACAGCACAAAGTCTGCTTCGACTATCAAGGCACCCCGGAAATAGCAGGTCACAAGAGTGTGACAAACATACAAAAGAAGTTGAGGGAAAATGACGATAGTAGGCATAAAGAAAGAAAAAGCAGCAGTTCCCCCTATGTTGTTCTGGCACAGTATGAGCATGACATTGATAAATCAGCCCATTTACAATTCTACTGTGCATAAGTACATGTTAATATCCCCGCTTTGGGAATGGCCTAAAGACGCTTCAGTCAGTAGCACTGCCCGGGGTGGGGGGGGGGTCTTGTTTGTTCGTTTGTTTGTTTGTTTGTTTGTTCGTTTGTTTGTTTATTTGTTTGTTTGTTTGTTTGTTTATTTGTTTGTTTGTTTATTTGTTTGTTTGTTTGTTTGTTTGAGTAAAGAGAAGCACAACGACACCATAATGGTCATTTAGTGCCGGGAGACAGACAGACAGACAGACAGACAGACAGACAGACAGACAGACAGAGACAACAGAGGGAAAGAAAAGATGTAGAACCTACCAGTGGCACCCTCCAACCACCCGCTCCTTTTCTCCTCTCATTTATCTTTACCACCTACAGCAACAAAGGGGGACAAACCAACACACACACATCACTTTGAATAGTTTCCTCTCTTTTTATTCATTGCAATAGAAAGTATAATATATGTATATTCTAGATAGGCATACAGCCAAAGCTAGCATAGAAAAGTAGAAAAAGGTCAAAGTGTTTTTTTAAATACAAATAAATACTCAGCTTAGTATATTATGTATATGATATGATGATATTATGATGAATGTGTCATGACGCAGCGGAATCAGGCGCTCGTCAATTTTTGGGTATATGGAGTTATTAGTGTCACCTTAAAGGCTATTCATTTGCCTTGCTTTTGATGAAAAAAAAATCCATTTATCTTGAATAGAAGTCGAGATATTTGTGATTGAAAGAGGTGGGGTCCCCCTGTTTTCTGAAGTAAAATTATCGAGAAAATGGCCGCCAAAGTTTGGTGACTTCCATAGCCTAAGAGTCCTTAGAAACTGCACATTTACATTTTTTTGTGCTTTTAATCAACGTTTATCCATAAAATCCACAAATAAAAGTGTTTTTGAATGGACATAGGGTGTTGAGCCAAAAAACACCCAAAAAATGTTTAATGGCCAAACTGGCCAAAGAATGCCGATTTCTCAGATTTCATTATTTTGATGAGCACCTGATTTCACCACGACGCCTCATATATGATCTACAGTAGAACGGAAGACCAACAGGCAGCTTCAAACAACACAAGACACAATAGTCAGGAGGGGACAACCCCTCCCCCCCCACCCCTCTCTGGAGACATTGACAGACGGTATCTGAGGCAGTCAGTGGTCCAGTGCCTCCCACCAGAGAAATTTATATTCTAAATTTGCGTGTTTGAAAGCCCTCCAGTCGTATAACCATGTCCAAGAAATTAGGAGAAATAGGCGAGTTGATGGTTACAAAACTTTCACGATACAAACGCTACCATCATGTCAACATATCAGAAACAAGGTAACTGAAAAAAGGAATAAATTTAGTTAAAAGTGTTCCCAAAAAATGTTTCCAAACGACCAGTATAATATGCAGGCAAAGCAGGCACGCACGCACCACACAGCACGACCTCCCAACCTCCACACAGCACGACCTCCCAACCTCCACGCACCACACAGCACGACCTCCCAACCTCCACGCACTACACAGCACGACCTCCCAACCTCCACGCACCACACAGCACAACCTCCCAACCTCCACGCACCACACAGCACGACCTCCCAACCTCCACGCACCACACAGCACGACCTCCCAACCTCCACGAACTTTGCCAGTTTCTCTCCCAACAGGTCACAGAATGAGGCACAAGGTAAGCCCAGCCCGACGAAACAACCGCCACACACTGCCCACCACAGACAAATACACGTTGAAACGAAATACATACACTATATAAAAAATAAAATAACAAACATCTACATATATACTCTATATATAAAGAATAGAATACTAAAAAAATATTTTTAAAACAGTACTATGGCAGTTCATGAGGAAAATCCCGCTTTGAACCCTGAGGGGAATTCACATCTGGAATAGATAACAAAACACAACCATGACCCACCACCCACACCACACGAGGGCCCACCGGGGGTCACAGTAGTCATGAGGGGCTGACAAAACAACTAGATCTACATGAACTGACGTTTCGCGACCTAAGAAAAGATCGCCATGTCCCATCCATTTCGCTTTGAGTACGTGCCTGCTACACTGTAGATCATTTGGAAAGTACGGAATTCCACTCACAAATCACGGGCAGTAACCATCATGATTTCCCGCTCAAAAGGACGATTTTTCCAACAGCCTTCAGAGCTGCAACAAAATCTACCAAAAGTCGGAAACTGAACACAGTACCAGGTGGGACTCGGCTTGGGATTCGAGTTCAGTTTTCAGTTGGGAAAGAGCTTTACGGCACTCGCAACAGCGTAAGGTCATACGAGCGAGTGGGATCCAATTGATTTGTTTTTAAATTAGTTCACAGCACACAGACTGGTTTATTTTGTAGAGTTTGTAAAGTCGGAATGGTTGAAGTTTATTTTCAGCACCCTCACAATTCCCTGCACCCCCACCCGCCTCTGCTCTGCTTAACAACACGACCGTATCAGGCCAGACGGCACACGACCCCATCAGGTCAGATAGCTCACGACACCACACAGTGAGACCCAAGTCCAGGCACAGAATTACATACATCTTACTATTAGTGGAGGGCTCTTTGTACCGCCTTTTCATCTCCCACAAAGCTTCACACTTTCTGGTCTCCAACAAAACTCTATATCACACCTTCGGAAATCGTCGTTTGTTAGTTTTAGTAAGGTTGTACGGCGCTCGCTACTGCATTAGGTCATACGGGCACCAAGGGGTGGATGTCAACAGAGAAATCCAAATGAGGAATCAGACTTACTCTGCTCACCTCTCTAGTCTCAACAGCACAAAGTCTGTTTCGACTATCAAGGCACCCCGGAGGTAGCAGGTCACAAGAGAGTGACAAACATACAAAAGAAGTAGAGGAAAAAGACGATAGTAAGGATGAGGAAAGAAAAAGCAGCAGTTCCCCCTATGTTGTTCCAGCACAGTATGAGCATGACATTGATAAATCAGCCCATTTACAATTGTACTGTGCATACGAACATGTTAATATCCCCCTTTGGGAATGGCCTAAAGACAACTTCAGTCAGTAGCACTGCCCTCGGTGGGTGACATCGTCGCTCTTACTGACCCCATACAAAGCTTTACATCGCACTTTGCGATCTAATACTAAGCTTTCACAATGTTTCATCTCGCACAAAGCTTTTTGTCACACTTTCTGATCCCGTACAAAGCTCTGTGTTTCTGATCCCGTACAAAGTTCTGTGTTTCTGATAGTCGACTACCCCTGAGACCTAGCAGGCTCCAGAACCAACAGTGGACTACCCCTGAGACCTAGCAGGCTCCAGAACCAACAGTGGACTACCCCTGAGACCTAGCAGGCTCCAGAACAAACAGTCGACTACCCCTGAGACCTAGCAGGTTGAAGAACCAGCAGTGGACTACCCCTGAGATCTAGCAGGCTCCAGAACCAACAGTGGACTACCCCTGAGACCTAGCCGGTTGAAGAACCAACAGTGGACTACCCCTGAGACCTGGCAGGCTCAAGAACCAACAGTGGACTACCCCTGAGACCTAGCCGGTTGAAGAACCAACAGTGGACTACCCCTGAGACCTGGCAGGCTCAAGAACCAACAGTGGACTACCCCTGAGACCTGGCAGGCTCAAGAACCAACAGTGGACTACCCCTGAGACCTGGCAGGCTCAAGAACCAACAGTGGACTACCCCTGAGACCTAGCCGGTTGAAGAACCAACAGTGGACTACCCCTGAGACCTGGCAGGCTCAAGAACCAACAGTGGACTACCCCTGAGACCTGGCAGGCTCCAGAACCAACAGTGGACTACCCCTGAGACCTGGCAGGCTCCAGAACCAACAGTGGACTACCCCTGAGACCTGGCAGGCTCCAGAACCAACAGTGGACTACCCCTGAGACCTGGCAGGCTCCAGAACCAACAGTGGACTACCCCTGAGACCTGGCAGGCTCCAGAACCAACAGTGGACTACCCCTGAGACCTGGCAGGCTCCAGAACCAACAGTGGACTACCCCTGAGACCTAGCCGGGAACACAAAGAAGAAGGAAACAGCAATCGCTACACAAAGTTAACACAAACATTTTATCTACAAAACCAAAGTTCTTGATTTCTGCACTTTGACTTCCGGTCTCACTCTAAGCTGTCGTGTGTCGTCATCCACCCAACGGTCGTCCAACGCCATGCCAACGACGTCCGACGCCGGGCCGATTAGAATTTGAGCATGGGCACGTGGTCTTGCACGAGCTTGAGCAGGTCCACGTCGCCATAGTAACGGACTGCTTTGTGGCCCACGCCAAGGACACTGATCAGGAGCAGTCCCATGAGGAAGCGGAGGCTCAGACGAAAGCCGGGTAGCCTGGCATGGACGAGTTGGTTGGTGTGAGGACAAGCCAGACATATGGGTAATATATTGTAACAATAATAATTATAATAATTATAATAATAATAGTAATAATAACAATAATAATAATGATGATAATAGTAAGAAAAAAAAACAATAATATAAAACTAATAATAATAGTAATAATAATAATAGTAATAATAATAATAATAATAATAATAATAGTAATAATAATAATAATAATAGGCCTAATAATGATAATGATAATGTAAGAATAATAACAATAATATACTAATAATAAAAGTAATTTGGAAAGAAAATCTCTCTGAACATTTACTTCATTCATATAAAAACTGAAATGACTTAAGCTGACATTTGAATTAAAGGATTTGACCTCTCTTAACCCTATCCGTACGCCCTGGGGTCATTTTGTACCAAAGGAGTTGTATTCTTCACATTTTAGAACACTTCTAGTACGAAGATCTCTTCGAAACTCAGTATTTCTCAAAAAATCACTCTGACAGACTGCTATGCAAAGCGTATGGATCGGATTAACGAGTAATTTTCCTTTTTGGTAAGTAGTGGCACAGAGTTCCCCATGTCGTATGGATACGATAGTCAAACACGACGTACGGAGAGGGTTAAGTGGCGGCACAGAATTCCCCACGTCGTATGGATACGATAGTCAAACACGACGTACGGAGAGGGTTAAGTGGTGGCACAGAGTTCCCCACGTCGTTTGGATACGATAGTCAAACACGACGTACGGATAGGGTTAAGTGGTGGCACAGAGTTCCCACGTCGTATGGATACGATAGTCAAACACGACGTACGGATAGGGTTAAGTGGTGGCACAGAGTTCCCCACGTCGTATGGATACGATAGTCAAACACGACGTACGGATAGGGTTAAACTACTGGGCAAAGCATTCCAGACTTTAGGGCAGCGACATTCAAACGCACTTTCACCCATTGTTTTACAATTCATAGATGGTAAAACAAATTTCTTTTTGTCAACTGATGACCTTAAACTGCGAGCTGGAATGTAGTCTCAACCTTAAACTGCGAGCTGGAATGTAGTCTCAACCTTAAACTGCGAGCTGGAATGTAGTCTCAACCTTAAACTGCGAGCTGGAATGTAGTCTCAACCTTAAACTGCGAGCTGGAATGTAGTCTCAACCTTAAACTGCGAGCTGGAATGTAGTCTCAACCTTAAACTGCGAGCTGGAATGTAGTCTCAACCTTAAACTGCGAACTGAAATGTAGTCTCAACCTTAAACTGCGAGCTGGAATGTAGTCTCAACCTTAAACTGCGAGCTGGAATGTAGTCTCAACCTTAAACTGCGAGCTGGAATGTAGTCTCAACAGACTTGATCAATACAATGGCTCATAATAATAATAATAATAATAATAATAATAATAATAATAATAAATAATAAATAGCATTTGTATAGGGCATATTCCCACTCAACAGCAGGCTCTATGCGCTTTACACTATATTATTACCCCAGCAGACCATAGAACACTCAGAAACATTCTCAGCTTCCCGGGAAGCATACAGTGCAAGCAGCTGGTTAAACTCTCAAACACTAACAAACTCACAAGATCTTTCACTGTCTATAGCTAGGTCCATTCCCACCTGGGTGAAGTGAGGAAAATTCGTGTAAAATGCCTTTCCTAAGGACACAACGTCGGGCCTACGGCTCGAACCTCCGAAACCGCAACCTCAGGATTACGAGTCCGGTAGCCTAACCACTGGGCCACCAACGCCACAATCACTCAATCGCTGACACAATGGCAGTCGATCAAAACACAGAACAAGCAAACTGGACAGATTTTTTTCCCATTTAGATGCTAGTGCTTTCTGCAGCACATTGACACAATTCAGATTTTTTTTTTTGGGTAAGTGTTTTACGGTGTTCGCAACTGCAAAACGTCATATGAGCACTCGGGATACATTAAACATTTTTCAGTTAGTAAGAAATTTTGAATTTTGCCCGGGTGGCAGCCGAAGCCTACTCTTATCAATTTTAGACCACCAAAGGATCTTTAACGTACACAACTTGCACATGGGACCTCCGAGATTTTTCGCCCTTGTCCGAGAAGGCTGGATTTGATCTTTCCTACCAGAAGATCAGGGTTGTAGCTGAAAGACAGCAGTAAGGAGGAGCCAAGGAGTAGCAGTGGAAAGGCTGCAGAAAGAATCAGGAGCCCAGAGGAAGGGGCTAAGGAGGTGAGGGGGTGGGGGCAGAAAGTGAAGACAAAAGCAGACGACAGAACACTGCTAGACAGCAGGAAAGGAGGTGAAAGGAGACAATTTTAGAGAAGAAAATTTTTCTGTCGCTACCCGGATTCCAACCCGAGACCTTTGAATGAGAGGTGAACACCTTAACCTCTAGGCCACGAGAGCCCCATTCAGATTATTTACTACACAGGCTAGGACAATGCCTGCCTCTGCCTACTTGGCTGAAAGGGATACCAAATTTCAAGAGCACCTTTTGGGGGTTTTTTGTTTTGTTTTTGTAAGCGTTTCACAGCACTAACAACACAAATTAGGTCATATAGTGCCGACGATTACAGGTGTTACAAAAGATGATAAGGATGACAGATGCTCGATAGGAAAGACAGAGTAGAGTAAACCAGACCAGAGCACCCCCCAACCAAGAACTTCAACTTTTGGGTCAAAGTAACTCAAACATTACTAAAGTGATTCCTAAGCCAAAATATGTTGAGGACAAAAACACAAAGTTTCTTCAGGCAGTCTCCCAACCTGGCCCATGTTTTCAGTCTATTGCAAAGACTCCGAGAATACAGCACAAACCTGCCTATATACACACACACGCAGAAACACACATACACACGCAGAAACACACATACATACACACATGCACATGCAGACACACACACGCACACACAGACACACACATACATACACACATGCACATGCAGACACACACACGCACACACAGACACACACATGCACACGCAGACACACACACATACACGCACACACACAAACACATACACACACACACACACATACACGCACACACACAAACACATACACATAAACTAGTCAACAAAAATTAAGGAACATTTGAGAAAAAGTGTATAACTTCGAAAGCAAACCTCAACACGCAATGAAATTCGGTACACATTTGAATCAACATGTGTATAGCAAGTAACAAAGAAGAAAGTTATTGCATTTTAACTTGCTTGAAAAGTTAATTGAGTTTGGTAGGGGTTAAAATCCCAAATCCCAAAAATTGTCAAGCGGTTTC